TTCAAAGTACGATGGTTATTTCAAACCTAGTAGTGATTTATTCTTTTCAACAAGCTCTAATGAAGGCCTGAAAAACATGGGAATTATGATTTATATTGATGATGTTACATACAATGCGAGTGATCCATCAATGTCTATAGATATTCGCGCAATTGATTCAGGTTATATAAATATATATATATACGAGTTTTTCTTGTTAAATAAAGTCTATAATAAACTAATTTAAATTTGATTATAGAACTTTATAATATTTATGGCTCTAAAATATTTGAAAACCAAAATTCAATTTTTTTGGATTCAATAGTTAAAATAAACACATACGAATTATCACCAAATCAAGCAAGTTTTTACTTTAAAATAATGTATTACACATCTATATTGCTATAGTAGTTAATTTTTTATTTTGCTAGACAGTCTTACAAAATTCAAGTAACAAGAAATATAAAGCATCTTATGTCACGAAGCTGGAAGAATTATTTTGGATTTGCACCCGATCGCGAAAGAATACCTTACGTTACTTCCATGATTGGTATTATTTTAAAAATGCTCTTTAAAAAGAAATATTGAAAAATATTAATTATGTAATATTAATTAATTCTTATAGAATCTTCTCTTATTTCGAATACTACGGGACTTCAATCATTATTTTCTACAATAAATATCGAACCACAATCATTTATTGTCCAAGTTGATACAGATCAAAGGTAACAAAAAATGGTTTAACCGTTATTTTTACTATTATTTCTATATTATTATGTGTAATTAATATTTTTTTATTATTTTAATTAATGATAAAGGCTTAAAACTGTAAGGACATGATTTTAAAATACAAACTACATTATACACTCTACCCTCATCATAGAGGACCCCGTTAAATTGGACCTACCGTTATAGCAGAGTAATTCTTCAGAACAATTTAAAATAAATGTTATTATGCTATATAGTGTTATTGCTAATATTCACTATGACGGTTGGTGCTTCTCAGCTTGATCAAGCCGTTATAATGAGGGTAGAATGCATTGAACATCTTAATACGCTGTAGCTGTATACTGACTATATGGTTATTACCAAATTTATGTGTTATAGTAACTATTAGTCACTATGCAATTATTATGTAATTAATGCAATTGAGATATAGTGCATAAATGTTTTTTTTAATATATAGGTATTGAATTCTCTCGGATTATTTG